TTTTATTTAGTTTATTTTTCTTTATTTCTCGTCGGATTTTCAATGAAGAAAGGTGACACACATACGTCCATGGTACCTATGACAATGTGAATAGGTCGTCCTTCGTAGACCATTCAGTAGACCATTCATGCCATGTGTTCCATGATGCATCAACTGTAAATGTATAATTTTAATTGAGACTGTAGAAATATACAGCAGCCCAACTCTATTGTGTACCGTTTCACCAATCGCTTAACTCAAATTTGTACCTGTGTCACGCTGGTAAATTCTTAGGAAAATGTATAAATACCTCTCCATTTCCTTTGCAAGAGTTACTACACAACAATCTCCCTCACAAAGTCCTTACCAGATCATCTCACATCCCTTGACCAGACCAGACCAGACCTTTGTAAGATTACAATGACTTTTGCATTATAGCTAAAGGGGTGTATGTTTGCATCCATAACTGACATTTTTCATTTATTATTGTATTTTATTTATTTATTCAACACATCTAGTGAAAAATATTTAGACAGAGTTATTAGAAGCTAAGATAAGTGAGAATAAGATGTGGGTCCACACACCACATCCATGGGGTATTTATTCATTTTCTGGTAGAGAGACTCGTACCAAGTAACTACATATCTATCTAGAAGCGACATGGGATTATTCAGGAACCATGTCGGTGTTTTGTCGCGTCTCTAGTGACGCGTTATTATTATTATACTTTTCTTAGCGTATTAATTTTAGGAATTCCCCCAGTATGTTCCTAGTGTGTTTTTAGTATTTTTCTTAATCTTATAGCTGGGCCGTTATTATCTTGTATATTGAAATATACAACATCTAGTATACAATGAGAATCGCTTGCGCTATTTTGGTTGCCTTATTGGCTCTGAACTCCGTATTCGCTAGCCATTGGGCTTGCTACCGACGACGAGACACAAGCTTTGGTTGGAATATTGATGCTGTCCTTGCAGATCCAAATGGCATCATCATTGCCCAAACGGGTTTCCACAATGAAGATGCCGATGTTTACACAAAGAAGAATAGCAGAGGAAGGATGGACATCAATAGGGATTTCCAGCACTGGTCTTGTGCTACTGATGGTGTTGATCATGGAGGCTTCGTTGCTAATGAGGTGAAGACACTTGGCAACAGAATCGACAAGATTGCTTTTGGATGCTATGACTTGGGTGGAACAGATTACTGCAAGCAATATGACTACATCAAAAACATGTGCTATGGATGGCTAAACCAGGTCAAAGATGGGAAGTTGAAGGTCTAGAACAAACTAAATATATTTTACGATCACCAGTTCTCATACGTAGTGCCACTCCATATCTCCATATCCATCCAGCACACAAACAATAAAAACCAATTAAGTTTACAAAAATGCGCAAACACCCCTTCAATATCAAGAAAGGCTCTGGAATCCTCGAAAGCTGTGCAAAGATGTATTTTTCAAAGTTTTAATCAAGTAAATCCTTTCTTTCTTGAGATCCATGTGGCAAAGGATACTCATCTACAGAACTAATTTTTATTGTTGACTGCTGGTAAACTGGGGATCGAGAACTAGGTCTGGAGAGGTCCTCGATGCGCTGGCCAATGCGAGATGTGTTTACGAGTTAGTTAGTAATCAGGGGACTTGGCGCTGTAATACTCTTAATATTGATTGATTGTTTTGGTACATCGTATGGTTTGACTGACTTGATTCTTGGAAATTGTACAAGTATTATCCAGACACTTCTTGTGCAAAAATATCGTGATAGTATTAATCTGGTCAGCTTTGTCTTTCTCTACAAAAAAACTTCTGTCTACAATGTGTGATGTGCTTGTAATATCTACAATATATTTTAATACGGAGCCATAGTTTATTCCCCTTGGCCCCTTGAACTCGTTTCCTCATTAAATCATTATCCCTTCTACCTGTAGCATTCGCCATAACCATCACCAGTCAAGTCTCCTATATATATTTTTTGTTGTAGAATGTTAGAATGAACATCTTTTTATCGCACTTCCAAGCGCCTTCATAAATGTTCCTTAGCTGCGTGTACCCAAATTCAAAAAAGTACTCATGCAATTCGCTCTTGATATACGACAACTTCAACCCCAGTGGGTTTTGAACGTTCCTCCGTAGAGGATTTTAACCCATGGAACTTATGCTTCTATGTGCTTGCCTGGGACTATTTCGGAGCAAATAAAAGTAATAACAATAAAAAAAGCTTGCTGCCAAGAACAATCAAAACATCAGTTCATCAACTATTCTGCATCATTTTCAAGAGTACACGTTTAAGTGCTTCCCCTGCTAATACAGGAGTGAAGGTAATCCAAGGGACGTTGCTTATATCAATATGGGAGGCTTTCCTGAGGGAATGATGGCCGGTAGCGGCGTCGATTCTGTATCCCATGGCTTATTATTTTTTATTTTATTTTTTTATTAGTGAGGTGATCTATTATCAGCGATTATATTGCGTTTGCGTATTTTGAAGGGTGCTTCTAATGTCCTTTATTCTACTCACACACCAGAGCCCTCGCTCAGCTGCGGGCGGGGGAGCAAACCAAGCCACCTGAACTTCGCTCCGTTCCCCAAGAACTCGGTCTATGTGGATTTTATAAACATGCATCAGAATTAAATAAAAAAAAATAAAGAAAAGTTGGCATATGGCCCCAGTAGCAGAAAGGCCAAATTGACCTTTGCTCGTAGCGATTCTTTTATATATATATATATATTTTTATTTTCTTAATAAAAGAAAAAAAAAAAAGAAAAAGGATGCCCCCCCAAGTATTAGCGCTATTAGTGAGTCAAATAGCTGCGAGGCAAATGAGTCCAGCGAAGTTGAAGTAGTGACGGATACCACCATAGCCGAGGATAGTCCCTTATAATTACAAAGCAATCTATTTCATTTATTCCATTCCAAGGTCGATCGCACCATTTTACTTGTGGGATTGTAATGAATACATTCTATTATATCATTGCTTGCTCTACCCATTTCTGAGACTCTTGCTCAGATTCCACCTATTCATTTGCTGAACATGTTCATATTATACGTTTTCTCAGTGGATGGCAAACATGTCACTCATCCTCGATGCAATAAAATTATAAAATAAGTATCTTAACTGTAGAAAATTTTTTTAGCCCGCTCTTTTTTCAACAATAAATGCTGAGCTGTGGTTATCTTTTCCTCCCTCTCTCTACACACATGTACAAAAAAAAAAAAAAAAAAAAAAAAACTGAGCAAAAAGTAACTGTAACAAGTAAAAAGTGGGTACAGAGCTGAATCTTATTGCAATACCAATCAAACTGTGTTTGGTCCACTATTTGTAAAGAAAGAGAATCGTGAAGTTTGTGCACAGAGCAAGAAGAGTGCATGGTTCTTTTGCAGAATACTTTAGCTTTTTTGATTTGTGTTACAATGTGACTATGCAAGCATGCAAATCCAAAACAAAGTCTAAACAGTAAAAGAAATAACAAAAATGGTGACATTTTAACGTCTCTCTGTTCGCGATTGTCGCTCTTTTTTATTCTCTTACTGGGTGTCATTCAATTCTATCTGAAAAAGTTTACAAATGCAAGACTAAAAAAAAAAAAAGAAAAAAAAAAGCTGTGCCTATCTATTGATCATGCCATGCCACGTAAACGCGCATACTCCCGCAGCTAGCTCGCTATAAGTTATCCGAATGTGTCTAAAATAATGTCCTTCATTCCAAACGTGATAACCGAATAGATTATCACAATTATCCAAACATCGTGGCTTTATTAACAACATAGATGACCAATTTGAGTGAGCTGACATACATATTATCCTATCCATTAGCGTTTCTTTCTTTTTTTTTTTTTTTTTTTTTTTTTTCACCATAACTGTACTGTTATAGGCCTATAGATTGATCTCTCTGTTGAGACACCTTGGAAAAAAGGTAGTTGCATGATGAATCCAGCTTTGACAATCCTTTCGGGATATCAACCTGAATGCGTCTTGGAACCTAGTGCGCATGGTTTCGTTCGCCTCAAGACGGCTTCTCTTGAAACTGTTCTTGACCTTCGACCAGCATTTCTCGATTGGATTCAGGAATGGTGAGTAAGGAGGAAGATATTCACAAAAATGGCCTGCTTCTTCTATGAGTTCTCTAACCAGTGGAGACTTGTGAATACGCGCATTATCCATTAGAAAAGTATATCCTTGCATCTCTTTAGCCTCCAATATCTCAAGAACCTCACAAATGAAGTCCCTAAATAGGCCCCGGTTGTTGAGCAACCAACTATACCATCCTCGGATACCTGCGGAGGGCGTGCTGCATTTCCACCACGATTACGGCCACAGCCACGGCCGTTGTTGTTCGGGACTCCATCTTGATCATCCTCCACCACTGGCTCTTCATCCGCATCAAGATCAACTGTAGTCACTGACATACAGATGATCCCAGTCGATGAAATTGCACCTACAACGCTAACATTTCTACCACGTACGGTAGGACGCACAACGTTGACGGGCCTTCCTTTACGGGACCATCCATACTCTCGGATCAGATGCAGGTTAAACCCCGCCTCGTCAATGAAAATGGTCTTTTTCTCAAACTTCTCGTGGTTTGTTGGGTTTTGCATCTCTTCAGCAAATCTCTCTCTCGCTGTAAGTACAGCGGGATCATATTTGTGACGTAATTGAAAACCGTGGCAAGAGACACTTGGACTTCAGGAAATTCGTCGTGGAGAGCCTTGTGGACCTCCATGAGCGTCGAAAGAGGTTCTCCGTCTAAGAAATCCTCTAAGTACTGACAGTGTCTTGCTGTCAATTTCGGAGCCACTCGACGCTTCTTGGAAGGGAGCTTGCCTGTTTCCCTGTAATGATTAATATATCTATTACAAACCCCCAGGTAAACACGATTAGCAACAATATCCCGAGGTATCGTTTAGCACAAGTTGTCTTTAAACTTAATTTTTACCTCCAGGCGCTCCTTGAATGTATGCGAACGGCCCTAGTCGCTTCAGCTACTGTACACATGTGTACTGTTCAGTACTCAATCAATCATTGAGAAGCCTCTTCTGTAATCTTAGAATATGTGGAAGGGGAGTTGCATTTCCTTTTACGACACATTTCTCTCAGGCTTGGCCCCTCATACTCGAGGCCAAAGTCATTCTCGTCTTGATCAAAAAGGGCCTCTGGTGCCAGATTGCGCTCTCTTTCTAGCTCATCCTCGTCGAATTGAAGCTGCGAATAGATGCAGGACATTTTAGGCCTTTTTACTTTCTTATTGTTTCTGTCAACAGGCTCGCTAATGATAGGTGAGTCAATGACAGGGGTTTCCGCAACAGGCGCATCCACGGTAGGTGTATCGAAGTCATGCTCGTGGCCAGTATATATGGGGGGCGTCCAAGGGTCGTATGGGTCTGCCTCTTCATTGTTCTCTTCCTCTACAATCATCCGATGAGAGCTAGACCGCGACGAGGAGGCAAGATGGACGAACGAAATGCCGGCATCATAATCATGACAATATAGGTTTTGGAAATGGGGCCTGGAAGAGTCACTTTTATTCCCGGGGTCTTGTATGCGGGGCTGAGGGATAGCACTGTCACTGCCTCCTCCCTCGGTTTTGATCTCAATAGCCTATATTGCAAAAGAGAGGAACCAATGTTTATAACCAATAAGATGGAACAAGTTACAAAAGAACCACCAAGATCACATACACAAGGGCTGTCATCCCACTTCAAGGCGGCTTCCTGAGCCTCGAGATCTTTGTAGAGCTCGTCGTCATCGGTGTCAACCAAGTTGATAATTTCAGGTTGGTTCTTAGTAAGTGTCATAGTGAATTTAAATTTGGTGATTAGGAGTGTTGAAGCGATCTCAGTTGAAGGATACAAGCGGTGGTAACTTTTGTCTTTTTATTTTTCTTATACATGGACTCATCATTGCATGTTAGCGTGGTACCAATGTGCCAACACGCCAACGCGCCATGATCTTCACGACGCGTCTTGACATCTTCAAAAAAAACCCCCCAACGCAGTTGATAATTTCCAGGACGCGTCGATAATATCACAAGGCCCCATAGCTATTTCCGCATGACTATTTGGACAAAATTTGTAAACATTCGGATAAATTTCTCCGTCCTTTTCGGTTAACTTTTTAACTTAACTTTGGACAATTTTTTTTAGTGATTGGAACAATTCAAAATAAAATCGGATAAAGTTTACTTTAAAGTGGATAAAACAATTAAAAACACTGTATTTACACTCTTGATACCACAGTGGAAGCAGTGGAGGCTCTGGATCCCATATCTCGTTCACTTGTACAACGGTCGATAAAGAGAGCCATTCCTATTTCAGATCCCTCCAAGGCAATGGCGTCCAAAGCATGGACAAGCCTAGAGGTGTTTTGGGTGACTGGCCTTCATATGCAGTCTCAACAATGGGAGGCTCTGATCAAGGCTATTGACTTTACGTCCGCGCAGGATTTGGGCTTTTGGTCATCTAACTTTGATTTAGACCACCTCCAGACTTTGGTGGATACTATCCCTGAGGCCAAAAAGCATCCAGCTCCACTACGTTTCCTTAGACTTGGTAAAACTAAATTTCGTGGGCACGGTAGTCGTCCAATAGAAATTCTAAGGGAGTATACGAAAGCGCTGAAGAAGAAGGCACCATTGACCAAGATCCAATCTTGAAGGATGTGAAGAATTATATAATACCAATTCATGGCACCGCTGATACTTATAACGTACAAATATAAAGTGCTTTTTTCCTTCCTTGATTTGGGAAATGAAAACATGAGTAATAGTCCAGTGAATAACTGCATTTGAAGGATGTTCCTGACTCGGGAGCCCACTTGAATAACACTGAGGAAAGAGACTGTTAATCTGTTTGTGCTCGCCGTTTCTGGTTTGGCAAAAATTTTGTTTTAGTTGTTTATGGTGTGCGTGCCAAAACTGATGCAATAAATTGCATTTTTTGACATCCATTCCTCATTCTCCTTTTCCTTTCTAATGATCTTCCCTACCATCACCGCTTCTCATTCTCATTTGTCTCACCTTCGTGGACTGTCATCGCTGTTCTCATCAATGATGCAATTAGCAAATAATCGCCATTTGTATAGTCATGTCTCATTGCATCAGTTTTGGTAAAAAGTACATGTCAGGTTTGTCCATCCCTTACTTCTTTCTTATTCTTTATTCTTTCTTTATTGCACCATCACCACTGATACACCAAGCGACACTCTACATATCTGCCATATCTTTATCATAACATGAAATCACTATCCAAATCAACTATCCAAAATGCAACTGTTCTGCTTCGTCAAGGAAAGCCTTGCAGAGAAGTGTCAAAGAGTTTAGGGATATCTGTTACCTCAGCTCAAAGGATTAGGAAAAGAGGCAAAGAAAGTATTCCAGTGCTGAGAGGGGACCGACCCTGCAAAGTCACTAAGAAAACAAAACAGCTTTTATCAAGATATCTTGACATGGGTGTATTGGAGACCCTAAAAGATGGTCAATAACTTGTTCAATTGAGGGAAGGAGCGCAGGTCGTAAATTGAGCATCAAAAGTACCTTATGCAGGATGATATGGCATATGTAAAACAGAAGCAGCCTGATCTGACGAAGAAGCAAATCTATGCTCGGTATAATTTTGCAAAGGATCACTTGGACTGGACTCTAGAGACCATCTTTAGCAGAGTTGGGTCTTGCGGAAGAAAGTGCTACTACAGACATCGATGGGATAAAACTCTACGAGCACATCATATCAAAAAGACAAGGCAAGGTGGCGGAGGGAAAATGATGTTCTGGGGTTGTATCACCTACTACGAACCAGGCGAAGGCTGTTGGCTCCAAGACAAAGTGGATTCAGTAACCTACGTCGACGTTCTCAAGGATTATATTTTAAGTCCAGGAATTACTACTTGATGGATAAGGACAATTTCATATTTCAGCAGGACAATGCTAGGATTCATACCGGAAGAATAGCAATGACCTATATCCAAAAGTCTAAGATACCTCTCATGAAATGGCCAGCAAACTCTCCTGACATCAACCCAATATAAAACATATGGGCATACATGAAGGTGCAGTTGGATCATTATCCAGACAAGCCAAAGAATATGGAGGATCTCTCTGAGAGAGTCCAAGACATATGGACACATATCCCTCCTGAATCCTTACACAAACTATACTGCGGTATGCCGAAGAGAATGAGGGAGTTATATAAGGCTAAAGGAGGGAACATCGTTAGGGAAAAGGAGAAGTAACAGGAATAAATAAAAACAAGAAGTTGTTAATTGCCATAATAGATGCAATGAGATGCTAATTAGGCCACTGATGGCGATGACGATGAGACTCCATGGAGGTGAGACAAATGAGAATGAGAAACGGCGGTGGTAGGGAAGATCATAAAGAAGAAGAAGGAGAATGAGGAATGAATGTTGAAAAATGCATCAGTTTTGGCACGCACTAAAGTAAAAAACAATCGACTGGGATCTTTCCAAATACAAGGGTTTGCCCTCGCCCGCGCCTCCGCCTTCGCCCCTCTGGGTATTTTCCCATGCAAACACACCATCTTTCTGCTTTCTTTCCTTTCCTTCTAACTTCAGTTCTTTGTACTTTCGCCCGCCCTATTCATTTCCTTACAATTCAACTTGGCCTAAGTAGGCACAGCACTGACGGAGGAGATTGAAAAGCAGATAAAAGAGACAGACAAAGAGACAAACAGGCTGATAGGCAGACAAAGAGAAATCACCATGGCTACTACTGTCGCTTTCGCCACCGACCTTGACCACCCCTCACAAGCGTTTCGCCCTCGCCCCTCGTTTCCTCGAGGACCTCAGCTATCATCATCAACATCTTCTGCGAAACTACGCATCATCCCCACTCGACTCGATCCAAAGTCTGGTCAGCGAGTCATTCTCTGGAATGATATCGTGAGCCAGTTCCCAAAAGCTGAGCGCGTTGTTAATGGAGATCGCGCTATCCTCTTCCTCACTAATGACAATTTTGAATAGTATGTATCCATGTTGTATCCACATTAGGTGTTGATAGAGAGGGATAAATATGATACTGCAAGCTGAAGCCAATGGAGGCTCTGACACTCATGATTTAATTACTTTTATTTACCTGTTTAACCTCTCTATGACCTGTTCCCTCGACTCGTACCAGCCTTGCTCCGAAGCGGATCCCTCACCATCCAGGCGAAGTTCTCGATATCATCTTGCCTGCTCCTAAGTATGACTCGGGTTACGGCTTTGTCCCTAGTATTGACGATATGGCTCTCGTGCCACGTAAGAAAAATAGTGGGGAAGTGGAGCAAACACCCTCAGTCATCCATTCTTCTCAAACGTCCTGCCTGCCCACTTTGAATGATGACAATGCTGTCCAGGTCCTTTACCACACTACTCTCATCACTCCATCGACTACTTCTGATATTATTTCTACAACCATTTCAACTGCAAGCACGACTGAGACAACAATTGTAAAATCAAATTCTCAGATATCTCTCTGCACTGCCACACAGCGCCAACAGTCACAGAACTCCCAGATCCAAACTATCCTCACAGGACAGGAGCTGCAGGCTGAGGAGCTCATGCGGTCAGTGCGATATTACTATGAGCGTCTCCAGATTGAGGTCCAAAAGAGTAGCGAGCTTCAGGAACGAATCTATACAAAACAAAAAGAGGCCAAGGAACTCATGTTAAAGGGACAAAAAGAAACCCAGCAATGGCAGCAACGGATCATGGATCAACAGATCTCCATGAAGAAATCGTTTGAAGAAAAGTCTGAAAAGATGATCCGGATGCAGGAAAAGGCATTGGAACGACTCGCACTGATCCAGAACCGTATACAAGCTGTACTCAGCCAGACATACGAGCTACACGAGTATCCCATTCCACATCTATTCATTGTCCTTCCAAAGCCTGCTCGACGGCGTGATGCTCTCATGAACCCATTATCGAACCAGTTCCGACTGTTCTTCCTCTGTGAGTGTGGCAAGCATACAATGACAGAGAACAGCAAGATATCACATGAAATTCATCTGGCAAAGCATGAAGGATACGATATCGAGCGGAGTTCTTCCAGAAATATGGGCCTTATGTGCTAACGATGATGGAGATGATCAAGTTTGGGTTTGCGGTAGCTGGGATGGTTGTACCACCTCTTGCACACACAGGGCTGGTGGATGGTGTTGAGGCTATCAAGGGGAGCCTAAATGTAGCTAACGAAAGCATAGGGTCACTAGTTGACGAAACCATTAACATCATCAATAGCCAATTTGCCAATGCAGATGGAGGAATGGATTTGGAGGATGGACAAAGCAGGCTGGAGGATGTAGAGACACTGGAAGCAGCAGATCTCCGACAGCTAGAGTCTTTCCTTTCTGCTCATGACGAAGGACGAGTCCTTGGTAACTTGTATAGGATAGTGACAACAGAAGGCAAAGTCAAGTGGGTATGCATTGATCATTACCGTGAGAACTATCGATCAGCAACCTTGCAACAGATAAAGGATAGACTTATCTCGCATAGTGCAGTCATTCGCGAAGATGACACAGAGGTTGGCCTCACGCTTAAAAAGGATTTATCAGGAGATTTCTATGACAACTTCCTCAAAATGCGAGGTATCCAGACCCTTGAGATTGGAATAGCTTGGGATGCAACTCTGAATGATCTTCGTCAGCTTGCACAAATTGTGTCAGATGCCAATATTACAAATTTCAAACTATATGGCAATTTTTTTCAAAATCCCGCTCGTGACATCTTCAATAATGGTCGTCGGTATGATCCGATCGTTCAGCTTTTGCAGAATCGACGCATCCAATCACTGGAGATAGCTGACTTTAAGGACTTTTATGCACATGTGTCCTCAACCCCCCTGGGAATGGCACCACAGGTTCGAAGGCTTACTCTTGGCTCGGACTTTGACGCTACAAACAAAGCTTCGAGATCACTTTTGACGAGGATCCTCAAGAGCTGTCCAGCCCTTGCAAGATTGACACTCTGGTCTAAACACTTTTGTCCGACGATCGATTTTTTGATGGGCCATACTAGCCTTATTCCCACATTGGACCAATTGAAGGTTATTCAAATGGACATTGATGCCACCTTTAAGTTGTTTAGAGGCAAGATTCACGCAGCTTCCCTGCGAACCCTTGATCCATTGGCTGGGGTCGTAGCAAAAGAGCAGGAGTTCCTTAAGCGTGGACTTCTTACCAAGGTGATAACAAGACGGGGCCAAGAATTTACCGAAGACTTATGGATAGAGATTTTGCGACTTAATCCGAACGTGTCGGAGATCGATATCGACTGTCAGGATAGTAGGCAGGCTCTCGAACGTATCCAACTAATATCCGCTGTCAGGATGAAGATGGTGGCCGATATAGGAGACATAAGCCTCCGAACCTTAAAATTATCATTGGGAAGCAATCCAATCCTCTCGCTTGAATACGTTTTCAGTGACGAAAATAATAATGCAGTTAACGTGGAGAGTGCTGGCACATTTGTGGTGACGAAGCTTAATACGACCAATTTCGAAAAAGGTCATCCTGCGGACCCATTAGGTAGTGTTCTGACTCGATACGGATCCATGGTCGAGCGGTTAGTGATTGACCTTCCATTCAAAGACAGTCATGCCAGTATCCTGGACGAAGTGACTAAAACATAGGGGTCAAAGCTGGTTGCGATCGAAATAGAAGACCTTGCGCTAACAGCTGAGGGCGGAGACAAGCTGGGTCAGATCATTGAGCGCTCACCTAATTTGAGTCGACTCCATCTGTATTTCGGCAAGCTGGATGTACCAGAGAATCGGGATCGAGCCGAGAGGATCCTTCAGCAGTACGCGAAACGAACCACAGAGCTTTCAATGCTCAAGTTTGGAGATCCAGACTGGGTTGCCAAGCTACTAAAAGCTGTCCCGACACGACATAATGTGCCAGCGCTGGTATCTCTATATGTCTACCTTTCTTCTAAGGACTCTATGGCTCCTGAAAATCTTACTCAGTGGATTACCAACATGGTCATGGGCCCACCTTCAACGGCTACAGCGGCAAATAATGCTGATTCAGAACAGAACAATGGCTCCACATCGACAGCAGTACTATCGCGGCGAACACTCAATGCGAGCTTAGTGGTAGAGAAATCAGCTGGACTCGCGGAGCCTCTCACTCAAGAACTTCGACCATGGGTCCCGCTTGAAAAGATCTCCATCACAAACACGAAGCTCCAGCCTCAGGACTGGGAAACGATACTCAAAGCAATTGATTACACAGCTCTTGAAGTACTCGATTTTATAAGCACCAATTTTGATTTGGACCAACTCCAACTTTTGATTGATGTAATTCAAACAATTAAAAAGCGAGCATCACCATTGCGACTCTTAAAACTTGAAAATACTAAGTTTGATGCGTATGGAAGTCGTGACGTGGAGGTCCCTAAACCTATGATGCAGGCGCTCCGTAAGAAGGCACCATTGGTCAAATTTGTTAAATTTTAGATCAATTCATAATATATTGAGAAAAGCTGCCAGAAACCATGCTGCTTTGTAATAATAAGAGCAATTTGAATCTGAATGTCTTTCTCTTCAACCGTCAGCTATTACGTGGTCATGTAATTCATTGAAATTGAGAATAAAAAAAGTTGATAATAAGAGAGATATATGGAGGTTATAAGCATAAGAGTGTGTGCGTGAAGAGTTAGAATGCAAACAATTTGTGACACAGTGGATGAAAATCAATTAAAGCTCAAGGATGACATCATCCTCCTCTTTCCTCCTCCTATTCTTCCGACTACTTGCCGACCCATCTGCTTCTAATGTCACCTTCTGCCTGCTCTGCTTCTTCTCCTTGTGTTTCATCCGCTCCAGCATTCCTGGATTACCTGTGTTTAACGGGCCTCGCCTCTGCTTCAATTTCTTGCCTTCAATATCACCCACTGATTTAGCGCCGCTACCACTATCTTGTCCATCACTGACATTCTCCACAATATCTTTCCGCATTGGTCTATTCTTGGGCCCGTGCAGGAGTAAATCTCCCCACATGGCCTTGCGCGCATCTCTGTATGGGATTTTGCCCTGTGATTTTGGGATGATTCGTTCTAGAAACCCGCTCGCAGCGCAAGTGTCCATGACCACATGTCCATCCCTCTTGAGTGGTGGGATCACTATCTGAGGCCAGGAGTGCGACGCAGCCTGCATGTCTTCAGCATTGCCATATGGTACTGGAGGCGGTGGTAGCTGCTTTTTAACCTTTTTCTTCTTTCCAGCGTTTATTTCAGCAACTTTTTGTTCAATTCCTCCACTAGGCTTTACTATTTCACTAATAGGAGCATCATTTGTGTTGTGTGAATTGGAGGATTGTGTTGACGGCGCATCAGATGGTATCAGTGTTTGTACTAGAGGCATGTAGACTGGACGTGTGCCTTTGCGCAGGACCACATATGTATACTTCGAGTCCTCGTAGTTTTCTTTTGTATGCTTTGACTTACGCTAGAGGTGTAAACACAAGAAAGCGATAGGTTAGTGAAGGTCACATAACTGTCAAGACGAACGGCAAAGGCACTCGTTTCCAAATATTACAGATATTACTATAAAAAAAAAATAATAGAAAACTTACCAAAAAATCAGGCCGTTGCACTTTTTGTGAAAAGTGACACCATTGTGAGTCATGGGACAAAGACACATACATTGGACAAAGCTTGTCATGAGGGCACTTTTTTTAAAATGAAATATAAAAATAAAAACAAAAGTTTAGTTTTCCATCTCAAAAAAGGTTCAGACTTCCTCCAATACAAGTAATAAACTGGTTATGGGAAGTAAAGTAGTAACTTACAGGCGCCACGACATAGCCTGCTTCTGATCTTTGGGCGGTATCAAGTTTCCATATGTATCATATGTAGGTTTTGGCTTCAACCGAGCGAGATCCAGTCCTAGAATCTGCTCCCTCGCCTCTGCTAGGGTCTTGAAGCCGCTAGGTGTGCCACGATCAATTAGAATCTAGAAAGTGATTTCAAGTAGAGCTGATTTTAGATCAATATCTGTCCTGCCATAATGAATATCAGTGCCAATTTTATTATATCCATTTTGGTTCGTCGTAGTCCATGATCCTTAAAATCATACCAAAATATCATTTGTGGGATCCCAAAGATGTTCTAATGAGGAACGACGAAGTGCAGTTGTTGTAAGTTCACTCAGAGCGAATGCGCTAATAACAACATCGAGTTAGCAATCGGACGTTGTGAAATAATCTAAATTTCTTATGACTCCCGTGATCGTAATAGCGGATGATATTATTTTCCTTTTTTGTTCATACCAAATTGCCGTTCCTGGTCCGGTTCCAAAGTCCAGTACTGACTTGGGACCAAGGGCCGGTAGACGTCGGCGTACTTCATCAAGCACATTTACGACTGCACTGTAGGTTGTAGGTGCGACTGCAGCAATGTAGGCAGTGGACTCTCGGGTGACCATATTCCAGGATGTGTGCTGAAACTAATTTGTCATCCTTCCTCCTTATGCTCGCCGATCCACTTTTTATCCCTGGAAACCAACAAAAGCATGACGGTTATTCACATATTTAGATAACTAACTGACTCGGATGAGGGAATTCCATTCTAATAATTTCTGCATTTGCTTACTTTTTGTTTGGGTTTCCAGATCATTGCCCTCTAATGCTCCAGTTGAACGAAGCAATCCATACAGTCTAAGTGCGTTCGTCCTAATTAAAGATCTATCGTAGTCTATTTCAAGCGTCTCAATAAATTTTTTTTTTTTTTTTTTTTTTTTTTTTCGATAGGAACATATAAGAACAACAACCAATATGGGAACCACTGAATATGTTATCAAAATTGTTCACTTACCACTGAATATCGATGGGCATCTCAACCTGCCCGATGCGCTTACGACCGTACTCTATTTCCTCTTTCGGCAGTTTATGCGGTGTGGAAAACACTTCACAAGTGCCAACTTATATATCCAACTAAAGGAAGTTATTGAGATAGCGCAAATAAGCAACCATCCGCGATCTCTTTCTTTTCGGCTTTCCCTCACATAATGCGCTGTAAAAACACCATTAAGTAACCGCGCCAACCTCTTTAACAAAGAGCGCAAGGTTTTGTGCTGGCTGTTAGAGTCCTTATGTACGTTGCATATGAGGTGTTTGCCCACGTTGTTCAATAACTTTTCAGGCGGCTGTAGGACTGTTGAAAAAAGGTTCACTCTGTTCATCATGTGACCTTTGCACCATCAAAAAAAAAAAAAAAAAATTCCCACACGCTTTTTGGATTTTTCAAATGTCCTTTTCTTAACAAATGTCAACTCACAAATGAATTTCAACTAGATCACCTGCATTGCGCGCAATTCGACTCCATCCTCAACCTCAAGGCATTTCAGTTTACAAGGTAAGGGGAGATGGTGGTGGCTGTTAAGAACCAAAGTATGGCGTGTTTGTACGGATTTCGAGGGGGAGAAAGGATGCGAGCAGGGATCCTTCTCAAGGGTAAACCCTGGAGTTCACTTCTCGTTGGAATAATAGCCGGGATCCATATGCTTCAGTTGGTCGGATTCGGGCTGCTGCAGTTGGTTGCTCCCTGGGTACGTAAGGCCAAGGCTGCTATTCCTTTACCTTTACAATTACCTCGCCATTAGTCTTTTTTGACTTTTGGTGGCGCTGCAATCGATGCCGTCTCTCTTTTATTAAGGGAATATGGCTATGGTGAACATGAGTCTACTCTAAACTGCGGTTATATTCACCGTTTGTGTGGATTAACAGCATCAAGGAAGTTGTACGGTTATGCTTTGACTTTCAGTTCACTAACCATTTCCCCGTTTTCCATCTTTAGATGATGTTATAGCTGAGTAAGAGTAGGATCACCACCGCTCAGACAACCATTGCTTTTCATCAGTCAGCTGCTAAAACAGGCACAAGTGAATGAGTGAGTGAGTGAATGAGGATATTAGCTCGTCCGATCTCACCGTTGGATAGAGATACAACAGCTGAGAAACGCGAGGATGGGTGATCCAGACGGTAACCAGAATAACATGAGAAGAATGAATGTGAATGTTGACTCTGTATCAAGTTAACGTGTCGGCATCCCAAGATCTTTAAGAGATATGAACCCAAAGACAAACCTTTTGTTGTAGACGAATGTTGTGATAATTGATGGGTAGACTCATAGCAAATAAACAAATAGATAAATAGAAAGGCTAAAGAATAAGAATGGAACATGTGGATTTCTCCGCGAGGATCAAGACTTTATGGATTGCGAAGACGACAAAGGAAGTCTTACTAGGACGAAAGTGTGGTTTAATAATTCATACCATGTTTCTTTATCCATGATTCTTGCGCTATACTTTCATTTGAGGGAGATCGCCACTTCTGACCTACCTTTATCATGAGGGAGAAAGACTTGACACTCTACTCACCTTGCATATCGAACACAAGTTTGTCTAACTACATGAATTTTATTCGCTTGTACAACTTGTACAAATGATATTTCGCTTCATATTGCTCTGTAGTCAGGTGGGTTGACATGTTTGGATCTTTCATTTTATTCCCACATATTCTTACTACATATTACTCGTACCTTCAACCTCATGCGACAAACAGAAGCAGTTGGACGTCAGATGATGATGATGAAATAGACATAAACGTACAAATGGATCCATCGAATAATATCGCCGAAAGCATGAGTCTGTAAAGAAAGAGAACGAAGATGGAGTAATCAGTACAGTAGAGAAAAAAGATGATGTGGACCAGAATGACATAAAGGTTTACGCGGCCTCTGGCTACATCGAATTGGATCCACCATTTTTAGAATAGAAGAGACTGAACATGTGGACATAGCCCGTGGCTCCGTGGCAGCTATATTGTATCTGCTATATGCGAAGTCATTGAACAAAAATATGCGCTGATCATCGGTATGGACCTGCTATACAGGAACTGAGAGGGCTCGATCAATCAGAGGAATCCTCAGTTAGAGTGCCAAAGCCTGAGGAAGATCCCCTACATCACTAGAGACCTCCATGAGAAGGATCAAGCACTGACTGCATTCATGCACAATGATAAACAACAAGTTCAAGAAAGCACCCTTTGGTCTCAAACCATTTTCAAGTTTATTCCAAAGAAGGCCAAAGATCCACTCCGATGGACCAAACCTAAGGGTCGCACCTGAAGAACCACTCTGAAAAACCATCCCAAGCAACCGCCTCAAACAATCGAAGAGCCGTCTCAAGGCGAACTCAAAGGGCGCATTGGAAAAAAAAAAAAAAAAAAAAAAAAAAGATCAACGAAACGTACCACAAAAAGATCAAAAGAGCAATCAAAAACGAATCCAAAATACCTACTGTTTGCATATCCCATTGATATATCGCATTCCAGTAGAACGAAGCAGCGAACTTCCCATCAGGTGAATACTGTACGCCTTTAACATAATTGTTATGCTCCAAACTAAACTTCTTTTGACCAGATTCAAAATCCCACACATGCAGGTAACTGTCTTCGTAACAACGAGTTATGATTTCTTGGCCGTTAGGTGAATACTCAATTTGCTCAATCCTATCCGTATGATGAACCAATAGCACCAACTGTTGCCTTGACGTCGCATCCCACAGCCGCAATATCTTGTCTTCACCGCCAGTTGCAATCTGCTTTCCATCAGATGAATATGCCACACTACTCAAGGAACCAGCATGGCCCTCTAACATAAATTTGAGAATGCCTGTTTGGGTGTCCCACACTCGCACTGAACCATCCTCGCTAGCTGAGACAAAGTCGTTCCTGCTTGGCGAGTACGCTACACAGCTGACAGAGCTTGTATGACCCATCGATCTGTGAACCAATACACCTGAGGCTGCATCCCAAATTAGAACTGCCGCTTGATCATTGCCCCAAGAGGCGATATGCCTGCTGTCCGGTGAGTATAGAAGTCTGTCGCCAGTTACATTGTCTTCTAAAACCAAGAGTTTCTCCCATGTCGATGTGTCATACATGATGATTGAATAGTTATTAGATTCATCCCCAATAACTGCAGCGAGTGTCTTGCCATCAGGAGAATATGACCCTCTATATGCCTCACCATTGGTTCCGAGGAATGGGCACTCTCCAAACTGTACTCCTGTCATCTTTACTCCACTCAGGTTTGCTGAACGAAGCCAACATTTCCGTAAGTTGACCTTCCTCAGATCTGCTCCTTGGAGCTGAGCATACTCAAAAATACCATGGCTGACATCGGCTCCTGGAATCTGGATGCCTCGCAAGTCTGCTCCGATGAATGATTCGCCTGATCGGACTAAGATTGTCATCGCATTCGCTGCTGCTATCTTCCACTTGTTATCAACAACAACATGACAAATCCAATACTACAGCAAGCCCCATTCATTCTGTCAGAATCTCACACAACATTGCAGTTAAAAAAAAAATATACTGATGGATGAAGTCGTTAAACTCATAATCGACTTAGAGATACTTTAATTAATCTTTATTCAAATGAATATAAAATTAAGAAGAATAAGATAACGCCGTCAGAATCGCCACGCAGGAAAAAAGGGAGGGAGAAAAAAAAATAATAAAAAGGTCTGTGTCAATGAAAAATCCCAAAGAAATAGAAGCAACATTCATCAGTAATGTGGAGCGTCATTAATTCAATTTCCCGGTGATTGATTCGAATCAGGATCAGCTGAAGAAATCCCTTTCAGAAGTAAATCTTCAGCAAGGGCACCTCTACGGTGATTCAATTTTGTTCCTAATTGAACCAGCTAAAGAAGTAGAATAATGAACGCTTTCATCAACACTGGTAGGTACCTACATTGAAAGTAAATTTACATGGTCAATGATGACTCGGGGATGTACATGTACAGTACATATCCAAATACGTACACACCCACCTCGTTAGTCATGCGATATATGTGGCTTCTTTTATTTATTCTCCTGTTGGGACCCAATTCATATTTCTAGGGCTTGTTGATAACTAAACCTTTTAACGTGATCTCAACTCCTTTTCTATCCTTTTCCTTATTTTAGAGGAAAGGAACTCAAGAACTGAAAAACAGGACATATTAAAAGTTTTTTTTTTTTTTTTTTTTTTATTTTTTCTTAAAAAAGAAACAACTTTCAGACTCTTTATTACACCCCTTCAAGGAAAAATGACTGGGGGTAGGGGGAAAGAGAGAAAATGAAAGAATGGAATGGGATTTTGTTTTCTTTGTTTTGTTTTGTTTTGTTTTTTAACGTCGTATACGGTACAGGACCCATGATCTTTGAAAAGATGGTGGTTAATCGCGCCATATTCCGAAAGTAATAATAATATTAATAATTGGAACCACATAGTGTAGATGAGTCTTAAACCAAACGGGCGTAACGTCTTTTTTTTTTATTATTATTATTTGTACATGTACTACGTGTACAAGACTTTGAGGCTATAATTAACAGCAGGTAAAGTGTATAGATGTGTGGAGATGAAGAAATATCAATAAAACATTATTAATTATTTATTACATATTATATATTGTCTTTCCACTCCATTTTCAATAAATTCATAGTTTCTAGTTACAAATGCACAAGGTTTATTTAAATTTATATGTATAAAGAAAATGGGCGTAGGACATACAGATAAAAAAAGATGACTCTTTTTTCTTTAACCGAAGAGAGCACGCAAAATGAGGTACAAACTCGTGCCAATGAAACGGAATGCGCTGAGGGCTGCAACACTCCAAAAGATCATGGACAGGTAAGGGTTGAACATCTCCTCTTTGCTGATGGGGGCCTCCACATCTGGAGCTGAATCGCGTCGATAGTTGAAACTGTTGGTCATGGCAATAATCAACACTGCATTGGAGAACATCCAGGTCAAGACCAAACGCGTTCTGAACATCTTGTAATAATCCTCTTGCTTTGTCTTCTTGTCTCGCTTTTCCTTCACATGATCGGGTCGGACCGCCAGTTCCTGCATGTTCAATTGATAGATCGCATCAATATCATCCCTGTTTGTAGGCTTCTCCAACTTGATGACTTCCTTTCCATCCTTCGAGACCACAGTGGCTCCACCGAGTTCTGGTGCCTTGTTATCACCCTTGGTACCCCAGGAAACATCATGTGTATTACAGAAGGCATAGACCATCAAGATGTTGACATAGGCAGGGAGGAGGAAGATGTAAGGGATGAAGGAAGTGAGCATGTGCCAGGGTTCAAAGTGCATCAGAGACGAGATAATGTACAAGCCATAGGTCGACATCAAAGAGATCACAATGTCACGGAAGGGTCCATCCACTTTGAGGAGTGTAATCATCTGAGTGTAATTACCCCAGACAGGACTGACGACCAAGTAAACTGTGGCAGCGGCAAGATAGAGCATGGAACCCATGATGAAAGCAAACAAGAGGATGGCGAGAATGTAGATGATGCGAGATCCTTGAGGTCGATTTCCCATAGAGCAGATAAAGACAGTGATGATAGCAGCAAGATACATGTTTCGCAACACACTGAAAGCTGTCTCTCCACGATCACCAAAGGGTGAGAAGTCCTTGTTGGCGTTGTTGGCAGCAGCGAAGGTCAAGAAGTAGAAGGTGAGGTAGAAATTGGCGAGAGAGAACCAGTTGAAGATCAAGTTGACTGCATTATACACAAACTCGATCATCAAAAAGATCTTTCGGAAGAATCCTTGTCCGGACGTGAGGACACGGGTGAAGTGAGCAAGGGAGTAGAAGGCAGCAAAGAAGGATCCGTTCAACCAACGACGACGTTGGGAAATGAATTCTCCAATGCTGTCGGGGACATCAGTCTCGGCCTTGGCCGATTTGACGTACTTGAGCAACCAAGCCTCGTTCTTCTTGGCGACCAATTCGAAACACAGGATACGGTCCTCAGCCAAGTACATGTTGGATTCGAAAATACCAGCCTCTCCTGAGGTATGGAGCGTCTCTCCCTTAAAGTAGGATGACAAGGGACCGACACCGGGTGATGAATCCTTCAGGGCCTTGTAGCGGTAGGCTGAGAAGGCTCCGGGCAAGACTGAAATGTAACCAAAGACGGACTCGAGTGGTTTATCGAGAATGTTGGACATCTTGTACTCAAAGTTTTGTGAAGCGACCAAAGGGTTGAGCAAATTGGCGCAGTTGGGACCGAGGTCAGCACAGATCTCACCACAGGCACCTCCGATGGAGGAGTCGCGGTCAAAGGCCTTCCAGAGATGATAGATACTCGTGCCCGAGGGTTTGGTTCCGACATCGAGAAGGACACAGACATTGGGGTTCAATTGGGGAGCGAATGCGTTGAAGAACCATCGATGGGAGTTCAACTTCTTCTTGTTTTGTTCCTTGAGACAGAAGAGGATCTGGACAGGGACGATACCACAGTCTGCTGAACGGACCTTGAGATCCTGATCCACCATGACCTGGGTGGTGTATTCATAAATATGTGCTGTAACGGGCTTGCCCGCGACTGTATCCTTGGCAATACCTTCCTGGTAGGCACCCATGGCTGCTAAAACTTTGAGGACACGGGGGTGACACTTTTTACGACCATCAGCAACAACACAGACAACGACTTTTTTCCAACCGTCCTTGCCCCAAGTCTTTGATTTTGCGCGTGTGCAAAGATGAGAGATATTCTTCATGACGGACCCCATTGTCTTGATGAAGAGCTCATCGTCTTCGTTGTACATGGTCATGACAATGAACAGCTCGGTCTGGCGACGGTAGATGGTGGGTCGCAGGGTATAGCGCTCCTTGAAGAAGTCGTTGGGATCACAGGTGGCTGCGGTGTAACGCATGTACTCAAACTCACGTTCGCCCTTGAACTGGGCATTCTGAAGCAACTGTCTTGGTACAGGACAGTCCATAACCAAGTTTCCATCTGTCAGAGGTACATGACAAATCGACTATTAAAAAAAAAACATTTGTATAATATAGAATACAAGGGGAAGAAACGATATTTGGTCAGAACTCGACATGAAGTACATAATAAGAAGTATATCTGTATGCTGTATGCTGCATGTTGAACGTTGAATGCTGTATGCTGTTTGTTGTATATTGGTATGTTGTACGATAGTACAAAAAACAAGAGCCCTGTATTTTTTTTTTTTTTTTTTTTTTTTGCTTATTCTGTGTCTGTATTCTAAATGAACAGTCACTTGCAAGAAAAAAAAAGTTCATTTTTCCCGACAGCTTTTTTTTCCAGGTGCCCAATGTGGCAATTGATAAAAAAGAGAGATTTCCATCTTGAAAGTCCATGCACAAAAAAAAAAAAAAAACTCATTCCCGAGAGACTTTTTCCTTTTTTTTCCAGAGTACAACAGCTCTACAAACAAACCTACCCTGCGATTCATGGTAGCGTTTCTGTCCAGTTTGGAGACGGTGCGTGGAAGTGGTACGGTCTGTCCTGGATGATGAGGAGGAGGAGGACCACCTGCACGGCCTTGGTTGTTTATTAGTCCTGCAGCATCGCTGTCATCGATTTCATAGCCTTGATGAGAGACATTATGGTTGTATCCTCCTGGGCTTCCATATCCTCCAGGACCACCATATCCTTGGGGACCACCATATCCTACGGGTTGTTGTGGAGGGTATCCTGCGTTCATATGGGGCATTGTTGGGGATCGAGCAGAATGAGCAGAATGACTGGTGGGAGTCCGTTGAGGCGGGCCAGCATAATAGGGCTGCTGATGTGGAGGAGGGCCTCCTTGAGGCGGGTATTGGTTATTGTTGTATCGAGACATTTTAAGTGATTGGAGGGGTCGTCACAGAGGATATTCTCTCTACTTGCTTTGAGCCTGAAAGTCATGCATAATGAAAGAAAAAAAAAAATCAATTAGGATGCATTCAAATGGGCACATAATAATGCATGTTAGTTGGGGAAGAGGAATGATGTCTGTCTGCAGAACAAGAGACTATGTCCATTGATGCAATAAACAACCCTTACGTTTGTAACTAGAATAAGAAGAAAAAAGATGAAAAAGTGATAAAAAAGGGCGAGGTTAGTGAAGAAGTGATTCCAGCAAAGGGTGCTGGTGAGTGTACGCCTCAATGACGGAGGGAACGTGGGGAAGGGTGAAGATTGATGAGATGGGAGGAAGGAAGGAAGGAATGAGAAGGAGAAGGAGGAAGGGAAGGGAAAGGAAAGGAAAGGAAGAGGAGGAGATGAAGATGATGATGAATGTGGAAGTGGAATAATTGTGAGAAAGAAAAGAAGAACAAAAAAAAAAAAAAAAAGAAAAAGTTCAACTGAAAAAGAAAATATTGTTTTTTTTTTTTTTTTTTTTGGTGCCTGAGGCGTTTGAGGCGTTTGAAGGGCGCCAAGTAAGGGATATTAAAATATATAAATGGGATATAAAAGGTAAAGGGTTAAAGGTAAAGGATAAAATGATAAATGATAAGTGATAAAAGTACCCAATATATTAAAATGTATTAAAATGTATTAAAATGTATTAAAATGTATTAAAATGATACTAAAGAGAACTAACATTTTTTTGGTAGGACAAGAACAAAAGATACATTTGGATAATGAATATGAAATTGATCGAGAAGATTTTGATTGTTTCAAGACTAATTGTTAATAAGAATGAGATTGGTACATCTTACATTATACTTTTTAATTCATTACAGACTAAGCCTGTGTCGTACCTGTGGAACCGTTGTTCATTCCATTCGTCAGTTCAAGGTTGCTTCTTGTTAGTTCACATTCATTTAGTTTTTAAACCGGCCAACTTGTGGCCACTGGCTACACTTGCTATATACGCTACAAAAAGAAAAAAAAAAAACCACTCAACAGTTTACACAAGACAATAAAAATAAAATTAAATTAATCTTAACTGGCCCAATCAGCGTCAAGATCTTTCTTTTCATTCTCATTCGGTTGAAATCTTTTCGAGAGGGGCGGCGCTTTGTTTGTTGTGTTGACCATTTATGTGTATATTTACACATTAATGTATAAGCACCACAAGCATATGAATAACAAACACCTGACCAAACTACACACCAAACAATTGAACATGCATTCAAAACCATGTTAAACATGGTATATACGTACATGTATATATACATGTATATAGTATTGAGTATTGATCAAACATGTCCTGTTCTGAACTGAACAAACAACTGTCAGGGGCACAACACCAACAAGAAACAGTAGCAACAACGGGGAGACAGAAATACAGAAATATGGATGTTTATTTATATATAATATTATCGATGGCTGGTCTGATAGGACAGAATACAGTCATGGGTACTGATTGTCCCTCCTTGCAGCGATTGCAAAAGCAATTCAGCCATCTTTTAAAACGTAATCCCTGAACTCCTTCATCTGTCATCATCATTCATCGAATAGCAAAAATAAGAAACAAAAATTTTTTTTAACTTTTTTTTAGCATAATACTATCGCTATTGCCCTTCTAAGCATAAATATGTCATCCCATAGACTGGACTAACTCCCTCTGTCAAACATCTTTAGCACTGACAAGCCCCCAAGTAGCTTTTTTTTTTTTTTTTATTTTTTCGTTGCATGGTACAAATATACATTTATACATAGACGAATGGTTTTTTATTCCAATGATGATATTATATGTATATATTTGTATTTTAGCTTGATCCAGTAGTAAGGATGAATATGATATGATGTATTATATTGAATGTATGACTGATTAGATAGAAGAATAAGCTTTTTTTTTTTTTTTTCCTTAGTCGTCAGCAGTTTCTGGCGAGAGAGTTGTTCCAAGCCAAGACCAAGAGCGTGTTGCATGGATATTATAGCTAAAGAATCGTTTGAGCAAAAAGTCCCAAGCAGTGACAAAGAGGACAAAGATCTTGAGTTGGGCCACACCCTTGGCAAGACCATAGTACAGCATAATCTGAGGGGCCATGGGTTTATGTACAATCAGGTCCTTGGTCTGGACCTTGGGAGTCTCAATCATCTTGCAGATATTCCGCATACAAACCTCGCCCTGTCGCCAGGCTGCACCTCCCGTCTAAATAAGCAAAAAAAAATGAAAAGCAAAGACAATACAAAATAAATAAGTGCATAATAAAGTTTTTTTTTTTTTTTTTGCCAGCGGTTTGTTTACCTTCACATCCTCCAGGTCAGCAACATCACCAGCAGTATAGATATTGGGGAATTCATCGTCAATGATCTGCAGTGTGGGCTTGGTTTTAATGAGCTTATTAGCCAGATTGATGGAGGATGGAGACAACTTGCCCAGCATGTCACTCTGTGGTGTCATTCCAGTGCAAAGGATCTTTTTTTTAAAAAAAAAAAAAAAAAAAAAAATCTGTTAGACTATTTCCGTCCTCTCCCGTTTGTTTGTTTATGACAATGTGACAATATGAATGAAGAATGAAAAATGAAAAATAAAAAAAAAAAAAAAAGCTTTTTTTTTGTTTACCTGAAGATCACATTCGATTTCCTTGCCATTCTTTGTAACGACCTTGATCATCTGGAAATCATCCTTGAATCCTCCTTCAGGAATGATGGCTCTGTCGCTCATGATCCTAGTCACCCCAAACTGGTCCAGGATCTCCACAGTCTTCTCATGCATCTTTAACTTGTACGAGGGCATGTATCGGTCTCGGGAATGGACCAGGGTCACCTCCTTCTCTGGATAATGTTCCCGAATTTCTACCGCCAATTCCAGTCCCACTGCACCGCCGCCGATCAATAAAATCTTTGTCGCCTTCTGAATCTTTGCCTGCATGTCCTTGATCCGTTGAATGGCTCCTTTTTTCGTATCATGATCATTGAGATTACCTGGTTCAGGATGACGGGCCCCCGTTGCATAGATCAGGTAGTCATACTCGATATTGGTTCCAAATCCCTCGATAGCTCTGTCGAGCTCAACATGAGTCTTTGAGATGCCTGTGGCCACAGCCTGGATGACCTGACCCTGCTCTGGTGACTCAAAGAATTTGGTATAGGGCACAAAGAGCTCATTCTCCCATCCTGAAATGACACATGCACGTGGGAAAGCAAACATGTAATGGAAGTGTGAATGCTTCTCAATGATGATGACCCGATGAGTCGAAGGCAATGATTTTTTGGCGATCATTGTGGCAGCGATAGCTAAGCAGGGTAGGACAATAAAAAATCAAATAGATTGAAAAAGAAAGAAAGTAAGCAATATAAACTTGACATTAAAGTCATTCCTGAGAAGGAAAAAAATAAAAAGAAAGTGGTTTACACACGAGTTTTGAATTGTCTTTACCTACGCAAGAACCACCAATGATGACAACGTTTTTCTTTGGGGCAGATTGAGACATTGTGGAGGTGTTGATTAAGAGAGAGAGAGAGGTGTCTAGGAAGTGAAAAGGGTTCCTGAGGATAAAGCCAAGAGGAATAGCAAGAAGAAGGAGGAGGAAGAGGAAAGAAAGCAGGTATTTAATAGAAAAAGAAAAAAAAAGAGCAGTAGAGAAAGGGTAGAAATGGGAAGGGCTCCTTATCAGATTGTCAGGAAAAAAGACAAGTTTATCAGATGCTGCGCTATTCTGTTTGAGATCGTGGGAGGAAAAAAGAGGAATGGGCGAAAGAAAGAAAAAAAAATAGAGCTCGTATACTTTAATGTCTTCTTGGTTTGTTTGCGTAGTTCAACTTTATTTTTGTTTTTTTCTTGTACTTGTACTTCATCATTGTCTACTCTTTAATCTCTTTGCTCTTGTCTGTCTGTCTGTCTGGTTGGTGCGGCCTTTGGGTTTTCTTTTGGCCGTGTACACTCTGCAATTAGATCCTCTCCTCCTCTCTTCCTTCTCCTATTCGTTCTAGGCCTATAATAGGCTACAACTATATACATGTAACATGTATGCCATAGTATGTCACATATCCAAATCATGCCATGGTCCTCTGTTCCAGGCAGACAA